AGAAAGTCCCTATACCGACTACGCTATCCGGGCCACAATATGGATTTTAATTAACTGTAACCTAACTTTCTCCCATAAATTAATCTAAAAAATATCCTCACATGCATATAGATTGCAGCAGCTCATGTACAGTAATGACGTACTGCTGCTGCTGCTGCTGCTGCCACGATCACACGATCACACGATCACACGATCACACGATCACACGATCACAGAATATCGGAAAAGAGTGATGCACACAAAAGAAAACAAAAAAGAAACACAATACTGAGTGAATTACAGTCCAACCACATGACTTAAAGCTTTAAGCTTGAAATGCATCTATCAAATTACTTTAGAAATTCAATTTCTACCTCACAAACTACATAGTTTCTCCATCACACCGAAATGGAAACAATCACACTTTATTCTAAATTCATCCAGAACCAGAAAGTAAACTGCGTAGTTGAAATGCAGTCCTTTTTAATGACACAGCGCGTAGTTCAGTCGGTTGATTTCGCACCTCTTCCCGTCTGCTGTCTGAAGACGTAAAAATTAAAAAATACGTCAATATAATTTCGCCCGTAGATTTGTATGGGTGTCAAATTAAGGGAGGACCATAGACTGAGGGTGTTTGAGAACAGGGTTCTGAGGAGGTATTTGGACCAAAGAGAAATGAAGTGACATATTGGAGAAAACTGCATAATGAGGAACTTCATAATTTGTACTCTTCGCCATGTATAATTGGAATGATCAAGTCAAGGAGAATGAGATGGTCGGAGCATGTAGCACGAATGGGGGCGAAGCTGAATATAGTATATATTTTTGGAAGTTAGAAGAAAAGAGACCATTAGGAAGACCAATATGTGAGTGGGTGGATAATAGTGAAATATATCTTAGATAGATAAAACAGAGAGGTATGGACTGGATTCAGTTGGCTCAGGATAGGTACTAGCAAAGGGCTCTTGTGAATGTGGTAATAAGCCTTTGGGTTCCATAAAATGCCGGGAAGTTCTTGAGTAGCTGCACAACTGGCGGCTTTTCAAGAAGCGCTCAACTCCATGAAGTTAGTGTTTTCGAAAAGAATGGCCCAAGACAATTTTAAAGCATTTCTGATTTACCTGCTTTAGTGAGAGCAGCGGATATGACATCAATAATCAATTAATCCCTTCCGGCTATTTTTAAAATTGAATTCAAGATGTAAAAATGGGACATCTGGACTTCGTGAAAATTGTATCCTGTACCTTATTTCTGGGAAATGAAAAGGAAATATCCCATGTTCCTCCATCACTTCCCAGCATGGAATTAGCTGCTACTGCATCATCATCATTATCATCAATACAACCTGCAGATATGTTGCCACCAAAAATAGCACCCACCCCGCAAAAGATACTCCCTTTCGGCTAGATAAAAGATCACGTTTTGCTGAAATTTCCAGCAGCCAGGAGTGATTGTAGTCCAACAAGAAGATGCAGACTTGTATAAAGCTAAAGCTAAAAAAGTTAACCGCGTAGCTGTCCGTGAAGACCCATAGGATTGTAAGACCGCGAGGCTCCCATATTTTCTAGACAATCGGGTCGCAAAGGGCGGTGAGGTTGTCAGTTTTACGCGCTGGCCGCCCTTAACCCCCAGGGAGATTCCTGGTACTCATTTCTGTTAGAAGTTAAGTCGAACACAGACTGTGTTTAAAAAACAAAAAAAATATTGAAACTAAATGGTGCTGGCGAAAGTGTAGTGTTCGTCTACGTCCTGAGAGATATGATGCCAGGTACCACACTCTCAGAGTGCACCAAACCATTTCCAGAAGAAATGTACAAATTTCAGATTCTGCGTGTCCCAGTTTGCGAGTGTTTCCAGATTTCGCTGGTCAGTGAATACATTAAAATGTTCCCTGACATGGGTAATTAAATTGCCCAATGAGAGGCTAGCAGTGTACATGTTACATTAGGAATACTGTGTCCATGAAATCTAAAACTTAAAACTTTCCAAATGTGACTTCTAAGCTCCATTCTGCTCTGAAGCTTTCACGTTCCCAAACCCGGATTCGATCTCAGGTCAAGTCATCTGCGATTTGTGGTGGAAAATAAGGCATTGGGGCAGCTTACCTGCAAGGTTTAACCTGCCCATATCCACTCCGCCACCTGCTTCCACATATATTATTCATCCTATCATCCGATTCAATAATACAGCGTCGTTAAATAACCAACTTGAAAACTTAATAGGTTCCCAGACCACTGCAAAAATGCAACTATTCCACTTACAGATCTAACAAAACAGTTATCAAGAGTTGAACCGTAAACCATTATAATACTTTGTAAGGTACACTACAATTTCACTCGTAGTCCAAAGAACGCTTTTTAAAATTGCGCCGCGAATATTCAAGGAAAAACGTCGGTGTGACACGCCTTTACTCTGCTGCTGTCGTGTGTATGTGACAATTGTATAAGTCAGCAAAGGCGGACATCATCAGCAGAGAGACAGGTCTATTTTCCGCTTCCTGTGGCACACAAGAAACGGGTTCAAACGTCCACTGCTTGCGTGTATCTCACTGCGATCCATCATCACATCTTGCACACCAGTGAACACCACAACACGTCACTTGTCGTATCTGTGCATCTCGGATTTCATCTGCTAAGATTCTAATTTGAAACGAGCGAGCACTACAGGAGCACGAAATGTGGCGTGCTGTTAACACTTTCACTGATAAATACTAGATATCTCGATTGAAGAAATATTTATTTCTTGATTCACAGCTTTCGTGGTTAACAAAAGGAATATCAGTTAAGAAACATCTGTGACACCAAGTTAAAAATTATAAATTAACTACTTTCAATAATGAAAACAGTACGTTACTGTGCAGCAGGTCACTTATCGCGTGGTCTGACATACTGATGCAAATTAAACTCACTTCAGTTCAGAACTTTGGTTTTCGCATTCACTCGCCTTTCTACAAGTAGAGGTTATATTCAAACCGATTATAAAATTATCAAGTATTTAACGTATTTTCATTTATTTGATCCACTGCATTTTTCCACCATAATTTTGGGTTTATTCTCAGGTGGTGCAGTACTTAAAAGTAAAGTAATTATGGCATGTTGACCTGTTACCACCAGCCACAAAACAGCCGTTGCTAGATAATGGCTCTGTAAGCAAAGGCCGTTGTTATTTAGTGGCCACAACAGACACGCACGCAAGAATGAAAGAACTGTTGTAAGCAGTGTTTTATGTGGGGTTCGTACCGAGATGTTATAAGAGAGACAAGTTGGGAGCTACAATTAGTCAGTCGGTTGGAGTGAGTTGGTTGGTGAGTTAGTTACAAGACTGCTGATTTTCAGTCCTTGTGAGTCGTTGCTGTTAGAAGATGGTAGCTGAGATATGGGGATAATTCGGGAACCGAGATTAAGGGGAACGTCAGCCATCTGAAGCCGCTACCGAGCAACGGCTAGCGAACACGTGACCGTGGACACTAGTGTGTGCATGTATGTGTAACAGCGTACTGTAAAGTGTAGTCAGGTGCTGTATGAAAGAGTCCAACAAATCCAATCATCAATCCGAAAACCGTCTCTAGTCACTCCATCACGTGACATAATGAACTGTCATGCCATGTGTGTTACTGGAAGTGGGCCCCTTGTTCATAAGTTCACATTTGATGAATTAGGCAATTGGATGATTAAAATATGAGAATATAAACATACACATGAAATATAGAAATTATAAGAGAAATGAAATATAATAAAAATAAATCGTAAGTTTAGGCTAAAATATAGGTAAACTACAAAAGATATACAACAGCCGGGATAGCTCAGTCGGTACAGAGACGGGCTATTATCTGGACGTCCGGGGTTCAATTTCGAGCAGGGGCAATTTTTTTCCCTTCTCCATAACTTCCAGACCTGCTCTGAGGCCCACCCAGCCTCATAGCCAATGGGCACATGGAACATTTTCCCCAGGGTTAATACGTTGCTAGGTAACGGACTGGTAAACACACCGCGACCGAATACACACAAGGTAACAATGGAAGATGTTTCAGTGGAGGAATGTTACTGCGCGTTGCTAGGCAACAGCGCACCATTGAAGACACTGGCTATGAATCACGTGACTTGTTCCCTTTATCATCTTCCTTACGCAACACTAGAACTGGGTTTTCAGTTCTCGGCAGGAGACAGCCACGGGAAGTGCATAGAAGACCCGTGAATACTTAACGTGTGAATTGAAAAATTTGAGTGTTATAATTACAGTAACCTTGAAAGTGTTAAATTATTTTTAGTTGCAACTAGTGAAGATCCAATAAATCCAATTGTCAATCAAAACCCGCTTCTTAGTCACAGAAATACGTGAGAATATATTGGGTATCTTTTTCTATATATTTCTTATTTCTTAGTGATTATGAACTTCTACTTTATTATATCTACTTACTTATTACTTAAACATATTAAATTAGTCGGTGAAAATATTAATATACGACCACTTTATATTTATAGTATTATTTGACTGTGTGATGATTATCCAGCCGCGTAATGGGTCAAAAATAAACTTATAAACGAGGGAACCACTTTCCAAAAGACACGTGGCATTGCAATATCACAAGTTAATATTAGGTACTGGACCGCCTGAGCACGATATCACAGTAGGACGGAAACAGCTGTAGTAACTAAATAGTGTTAGTTTTGAACAGAATTTATAGTTTTCTACAAAGTCTGACAAAATGCATTCCGGGACCGAGTCCATTACACGAATTTAAAAGCATGTAGAAACATGTTTCAACTTATCCGTGTAAACTGACTCTTCTAGCGTGTTCTCTATATAAGCCAGTCACATCTCTCTTGTCGTTCATGCTCAGCCGTGTTTAAGACTTTGTGCCGTGCAGATCGTAATGATGGGGCACAGAGCGAACATTAAGTTCTGATTCAAGACCAGTAAAACAACTACTGAAACTTTCCAGCTGATAAAACAGGCTTATGGTAACAATGCTTTCTCTCGTACACGATTTATTAATGGCAAATTGTTTAAACGATTTAAAGATGGGCGTGAGAATCTTCAGTCTGACCCAAGTAGCGGAGTCCTTCAGCCTCTCGAAATGCAGACGCAGTCACAAATGGCCGCGAAATGGTGACGCGAGATAGTCATGGCCTCTCGGAATGATGGCGGATGAATCAAACAACAATAAGGAGATGTTTCGTCAGACCCTTCATGAATAGTTATGGAATGCGCGGAGAGTTCGTCCCACACAGACCCACGGACGAGCAGAAGCAGCGGAGACTCACATCATACCAAAATGTGCGGAGAGTTCGTCCCACACAGACCCACGGACGAGCAGAAGCAGCGGAGACTCACATCATACCAAAATGTGCGGAGAGTTCGTCCCCCACAGGCCCACGGACGAGCAGATGCAGCGGAGACTCACATCATACCAAGGCTTCATCCAGACTTGTCAAGACAATCCCATGTTCACTTTATCGTGATCTGTCCTTCCTAAGGCGAAAACGCCCTCAAAGGAAAGAGGTTTCAGGATGCTGAAGACATTAAGATAAAAGTGAAGGCTAAACTGAACTGAACTGAATTATGTTCCTTTGGAGGCCTCTACTGACTGTTTTGATTTTTAAACCATGCAACAAATATATTCAAGTAGGCTGAGATTACATTGAATAGAAATAAAGCAAATTTTTAGTTTCTTTTATTTTTTATTTCTTATTTCACACCAGTTCTGGAACTTTATAATCGCTAAGTTTGTCCGCTTTTGATAAGTTAACTTACAATTGATGTAGGAATTTGTCTGCGCTATGAAGTCACAGATACTCACTTAGCTGTCATAGCAGTACAGGAAACCCTCCATCTGCCTCCCGCTGCGTGCGACAAAGCGCAGGATAAGGGATGAAAGCCCAACTGAGAACCACGTTTGACATCATGCTGGTACACCACACGGTGGTGACGATGCAGTTCAAAGATGGAATGATAATCACAAAGAGAAACTAGAACGTTGCCCCAATTCCTCTTTATCGATCAGTCCCACTGAAACATGTGTTCCGGTGCAATGTTTAACTTTCACGATCCCCACTGAAACATTTGGCCTAGTGCCTGTTTTTCGTCATCAACCCCACCGAATCATCTGTCCTGGTGCCTGTTTAACCATCACCAGTCCCACTGAAACATTTGTCCTAATGCCTGTCTTTCGTCAGCAGCCCTACTAAAACATCTGTCAATGTATGATTTCCAATCACCAGTCCAACAGAAACATATGTCCCAGTGCTTTTTAGGCTCTTGTAAACGTGGGAATAAACCTTCGTTTTCCATAACTGACCAGATGAATGACAGTCAGCTTATAAAGAAAGACTCTGCCTTACAGAGCTAGTTCGTCATTTAAGTTCTTGATCAGCTACGTGACTATCAGCTTCTTAAGAAAGATCCATCTTCGTAGAATTTGTTCCTTAGTTTGTTGATCCGTTAGTTCTTAACCAGATGGGCGACTGTATGATTCTGCTCCAGCGAGTTAGCTTATTCAGTGATTGTGGAGTTGAGTGTGCCTGGGTGGGAGGGTGAATGGAAGTGATTTCAAGAAATAATTAGAAACTACAGAAGTCAGTGCTTCCAGGGAGCCTCCATGTGTCAGTTCTGTCACACACGACACTGGAATTTCGTAATAATTAATTCATTAGCCTACGGGTTACCATGTAAGACATTTTTCTGTGTTGTACAAATTAATTAAACCTATATTTTAAAAAAGGCCAGTGATATCAATCTAAAACGCCCTTTTAGTTAAGTACAAGAACTCTCGGAGTACAGTGAATACAAACTCTAGAACACGGACTGTCTACAGCATGGCGGTGGGCAAATTATATTTCAAATAGTTTCACTGAGAACCTCCGAGCGTTTTGTAATATTCCTGCACATTTCCCGATTGTTGTGTTGATTCGGCCTTCGAGAGACAATGCTAAATTTGTAAAGGCTTTTCAATGTTCCGGCAAACAGTTTCCATCTACTCACATTATGAAATGTATATATATAGGAATTATGGCAACCGTCAACGCAACATACGTATATATACTCAGTTTTAATATTCGATCTTTATTCCTGCTACATGTTTCGGCCGTACAAGATCATCATCAGACAGTTATACACAGGAACACGTACAGTATATTCGTTCTGTTGACGGTTGACATAATTCCTATATATATATATATATATGAACACACAGCAGGATGCAACCAATGAAGATAATTATGAAGTGTGTTGGAATTCCAGTCACTGTTCAGTTTCCAACGCACTGCCTCTTGCCAGAGCTATATACAAGGGGCGTACTGAAAGTCATGAGCAACAATTTTTTTGTAAAGTAACATGCTTTATTATTGACAAACCAAATACACCACTTCAATTTATAGACCTTTCTTTATTTTTCAACATAATCGCCACTTCTTTGTACACATTTCTTCTAGCGTTCTGGGAGTTTGAAAGTTCCCCTTCTGTAAAATTCCATTCCAGCCATCCGAAGACACTGACGCACTGTTTTCTGAATTGCCTCCCTTGTCTCAAAACGTTGTCCACGCAGCTGATCCTTCATAAATCCGAAAAGATGGTAGTTGGAGGGTGCCAGATCAGGAATATAGGAGGTTGTGGAAGAACTTCCCACCTCATCTTTGCAATTGCTCCCAATGTGAGGCGAGCGGCGTGGGGTCGAGCGTGTCAGGCAGGTTGATGATATTTCTCCCGGACGTTTGTTGCGTAATGCACGACGGAGCTTGTGCAGCGTCTGGACATAAAGAGCAGCATTGATGGTTTGCAGAGGTTCCAGGAATTCGGCCAGAATAAACCCCTCTGCATCCCAGAAGGCTGTGCCCATCACCTTCGCAGCTGATGGCACTGTCTTTGCCTTCTTTTTTGATGGAGAATGCAAATGGTGCCATTTCATACTCTGCCGTTTCGTTTCAGGCTCGAAATGGTGAAACCAGCTTTCGTCACCTGTCGCAATACAGAGCAAGAAATCATCGCCTTCGTGTCGATATCTCTGCAGAAGTTCTGAGGTGATGGCGTTTCGCTTACCTTTGTGGTCTTCGGTCAATAACCGCGGGACCCAACGAGCACAAACTTCCCTATAGGCCAAGGTTTCAATCATCTCCTGTACTGCACTGTGCCCTATTCCAAGTTTTCGGGTTATTGTGTTCACGGTCACACGCCTGTCATCTTCAATGATCTCATCCACTCTTTCTTTGTTGCTTTCAGTTGAGGCTGTTCGAGGACGACCGCTCCGAGGCTCGTCTTCGATGCTGGTGTTCCCATTTTAAAAATGTTTCACCCATCTTCAGATACTGCTCTCACCCATGCACACACTTCCATAAGCACGCTGAAGTCTCTGGTGAATTTCTGCAGCAGGGATTTCCTCTTTCACAAGAAATTCGATGACAGCACGCTGGCGAAACGACGTATAGTTGTCGGCCATTTTGTTAGGAGTGATACTGGTCACGTGATGCAAGCTATTGACGTCACAAGACACTCAAGGTTAACACAACAGCTGGTTCCACCTACCACCGTACACTCTTTCGTTTGCTGTCCCCAGGTTGCATGCAAAAAAAGTTGCTCATGACTTTCGGTACGACCTACAAATATTCTCCTAAAGAATTTCCTGACTACTGGATGATGACTGTAAAGCAGGCGGTAATTTCCTCTCTACAAATCCGAATCTCTGTCCCGTGACGAGGACCACAATCTCTCTGATTTGTATCTACGTGCCACATTTTCTTTTGCGGTGGGGGGCGTCCCTCCGATGTAATGAAAAATTTATATTTTCAAAGAAACACCGTGTAAGACTGTATTCGTTAGATAATTTTGTCATACATAACTAGCGAGAAGAATGTTTCGGAAAATATCTTTGTGTGAGAACACAAGGTGAAAGCTATCACTATTCTACGTAATACGTGGTAGTTTCTAAACTCAATACGATTCTAAATTATTGTCCGAATTTCCGTGGCCTGTAATTTTCAAATCGAAAAAAAAAATAAAACTTCTGAAGGAATATGAAAATGTAACTCAAAACGTTCTATTTGGCAACGCTGTACCTGCCGATTTTATGTATGGGAGAAAATATAATGTCATAGATCAAAATAGCGACTTTTCAAGAGAGACTAATATGTTTACATTGGACACGCCACGGAAACCCGATAATAACTTAGAATCTGCCGATGAAGCATGCCACCAGGAACTGCTGGGTTTCTTTGGACTTCACTGATTTTGTACCTAGTCCGGTATTCTGAAGAACACAACGTTTCGGAGAGTGGATCTGTTTCCATCCTAAGATCAGAGGGTGGGAGACATTTATTCTCTTGGGTCCGCTAAGAAGTGGTGACCTTTTTTTTATTGCTAGTGGCGTGGGACTAAGTCCCTTGTACTGCGGCCACTTCTGGCCTATTGTACCAGCCCAAGATGATAGGTCAGGGTGATTGTTGAGCAATTGGTGGAATGAAGATTGGCAGGGGAAAACAAAGTACTCGGAGAAAACATGCCCCAGCGCCACCCTGTTCACCACATATCCCACTTGACCAGACCCGGGATCGAAACCGGGCCGCCGCGGTGGGAAGCCAGTGACTAACCGCTTGAGCTATGGCGCGAAGTGGTGACCTTACTCAGTGATCCATTTTCCGAAACGTCATGTTCTTTAAAGTACTGGACTATTTACAAACTCTGAAATCCACACAAACCAGTAATCCTGAGTATTCATTATCTAATTTAAATTTACAGTTTTTTTTGTGAATTCAAGCAGTGAAAGTTAAAGGTAAATTTGGCCTTGAAATTAGTTAATCACAACGCCATGAGGATATATGGAGGACTGGAGGTATAAACTTCATTATGTGTAACATCGGCACTAGATTCATATTTGCTGTAAGCTTCACGCTCCTGCCGTATTACTCCAGGGGAAACAGTACGGCGTGTCCTGCCAGTTACAGTCTTCCAAATATGATTATAATCACCCCTGTTGTAGACGTCATTCACAAAGTTTGCCGGTTCGAATCTCTGTCATTTTACAGGCTATCTTGAAGAAGCGCTGTTGTGATATTCCCTTGTCTCCAGAAAATGTATACGTTTATAAAAGTTTAGGCTTGTCTGCAGTGTATCGCCGTGTAGTTCGGAGACAGTTCGAAGTTTCGGAAGAACATGACGTCTAAATCTTCAGAGCAGAAGAGTACGCTTGCCTCTCCTGGTATCCTACTGCGATTATTCTGCGATCCCGAAGATGGAGGCGATATATTCCTCCGAAACGCCGAATTCTCTCCGAAGTACACTGTGTGAAAGCCCAAAAGGCCATACACTTCATAGTTACAGCACTGAGAACGTAAAATCCAGGTTACTGTCACATGTAGACTCGTTGCTAGGCAACGATCTCGAAAGAAGCAGCTATATAATAGCAGTTTTCACGGCAAAAATTTAACTGCAACAACGATAACATTTANGTCGCCATACCCTACCGGTACTGGTGCGTGCTATCAGCCCCGTTCAGCCAACGAGGTCGGCCGTCGGTACCTGATATTTCCCCCATCTACCAGAGGCATTGGAAACTACTTGGGAGGGAAATTGTTGCCTAATTTTGCTCAGAGGTCTCCTAGAGACATGAGGACATTTTATGTGCCGTAAATCTACGGCACGGAACCCACGACTTAAAGTCCCTCCCGGAGGACTTGTTCCCTGAATTTTTCGGCCCTTAAAAATTCCACGACCTCCGCTGGGTTTGAATCCGCGTACCTTGAGTCATGAGGTGGGAACGTTACCCCTAAACTACGGAGGCCGCTGGGAGCTACAGTTAGTCAGTCAGTCAGTTGAGTTGAGTGGAGTTAGAAGACAGATGCTGCAGCTGAGGCCGGGAATAGTCCGAGAACCGAGAGGAAGGGTAACGTTCGCCGTTAGAAGCCGCTACCGCGCAACGGCTAGGGAAGACTGAGAGGACTAAAGCAATTTTTTCTTCCTGTCTTTCATTAGCGACGCTGTAGCTTACACGTCATGTAGTTGAATGTATAAAGAGATGGGGTAATTGAACGATAAATTTGAATGGATACAGAATGGAGCAGTTGTGATCCATTTCACGGTACTATCAAAGCATTCGCTTGGAGGTATAAAGGAAAATGATAACGAACATCAGTCAGGGTAGCCGATTTCCTTGCCAATATTCGAACCTGCGACCCCTCGTAATGCCAACTGCTTCACTAGGATACAAGGTAAGGCAATGTAAAAATGGGTCCTGATTAGTTCATTGCATTTTTCAATTGATCTAACCCTTCCAGGCTTACTGTGGCGCTGGGATCGACTCAGCCTCTAGCAGAAATGAGTACAGGGATTTTCCTGGGGGGGGGGGTAAAGGGCGGCCGGCCGGCGCGTAAAGCTTACAACCTCACCGCCATCTGTGAACCGACTTTCTAGAAAATGTGGGAGCTTCGGCGTCTCACAATCCTATGGCCCTCCACGGCCTGTTACAGGGATAGTTTCACTTTTGTGCTTCACACAACTTTCACAATGTCACTGGTTCCGCCATGCCAGTTCCTACCCGAGGTCGGACATAAGTGCATGTTTTAGTCTGTTCATGCAGTCAGGGAAACAGATTTCAGACACGTAACACCTGTGATCACATATGCTAAACCAAACACT